ATGGGTAGGGTAGTCGCGACTACCAAAATGGCTATGGGCGGCATTTGGATCTCTGTGTTGATATACATGGAGAAGATCCTAGCAGACGACACCAGGGGCATATGAAAAGGTTCAGATCACAACCCTATCACGTAATGCTTCACAGAGCCATAACAAATCATAAAAAAAACAAAACGAACAGATAACATCGAAAAGGCGACAGAAGATAATTAGGTAAACGATCGTACGGTCTTTGGAACCTACGTAAGCATAAAAGATGCGATTCTACGGGCGACAGGATGAAACTAAAGAAGAGTAAAGGGTCGCTCGAGCTCGTTCTATTAACGAAAAAAAGCTGAGACGATGCACGCAGGATAATCACCAAGCAATCACAATATTTTAATAAAATTTTTACCTCGCTGACCCGCTACCACAACTATATCAAAGAATTAGAACGTAATAGGAACGTGCAGAAATGGCAAATTGAGAGAACAACATTATCGCATACGAAACGTCGACAGACGAAAAGAAACGTTCTACTTCTAGAGCTAAACGATAGTGAAAGGCACAAACAGGAGTGACCGGAATAACTGAGTCGTTGCGTAACGTTTGACGAGGGTGAATCGACCCATCAACACGGTTTGTGATGGAGGGCACTCAAATACAGACTCTTTGCACAGGAGATGAAAAACACCAACGGATGGATCAAGCATAGCCGGACTAAACGCAATACTCGAAACAATCCTCAACAAATAAAAATACATAGAGAACCTATTCAGGAGTTGGCGTAAGTACAGCTCCACCTCAGGATCAGGACAAACTCCTTGGATCATAACTGTACAGCAGCTGAAGTCACTTCGAACGTGCTTCGTTCACTTTACTAGCGTCTAATCTATCGCTTTATCTCGTAATAGAAGTTATAATATATACTATAACTATCGATTACGTCATAAAACCAACGTCTGTCGGTTGTTCTTCTTGCAACGCTTTCATTAATCATGATTCTTGGACAGTGTTCGGCGATTAGGAAATGCTAGGTCATGTACGCGCTCCCAGTTTAAGGTTTGACGTATCTCTCTCTGTCCCCTGTCATCCCATGCTTTGGCGTACGATGCTTCTGAAATAAATCGGCTCCACCGCACGCACCTCCCTACACATCCCTAGCCCAAAGTAGAACAGCGTGACCGATAAACTAGGAAATTTTAAGGCCTACTCATTATGCTCAGGAACGTACCTGTGTGCATCGCTACACACATTGTCGTCTCTGTTGTATAAATAAGACGACTCTTACTAGACATATTTTATCGTTTAGAATCCGAAAAGAGGGAATTGGGCAGCGTAATAAATATATTGAGCCGAAAAAACAAGCTACTGAATTGTAAAATATATGCAAAACATAGCACAGAGTATGACAATCTTCTATAGCTTAGTTCTCTTTTTCAGTAAGCGTTTACTAAATGCATGTTATTATCATGCTGTGTAAAAACATCAAACATAGGCATTATCAGGGGTAACCGAGTTACGCTCAGTCTTATAGATCTTGCTACAACTAAAAAAATTAAGTATATATGATACAGGTGCGGA